TAAGCATATTATATCAAAATGAGGCTCACCAGCGTGAAATCCACTGCTGTAAAGATAGCCAGTCCTGCATCTAGTTACTGTCACGTGATCGACTCCTTTTTTTTTACGCGAGCAATTTAAGTGAGCGTCGATGATGTATTGTAGAATGTTGGAACATCACGCAAAGCTGCATCTGATAGATCTTAAGCATCTATGAATGTCAATGCAGAGAATCAATTTTCATGCTACGCATGCAATGTAGTGCAATACCAAATTAACGCGTTTATGAAGCCAACGGCAAAACAACTCACGTACTTCGTCGACCTAAAGTCAACACTCAAAATGTTCCACTCTATAAGCCATGTGCATATATTCCTGAGGAGGACACCGCAATCCTCTATACTTGGGTCGGGGCTCATTAGGCTGGCATCCCGGCCCCCATCGTGGACTATCACGTTCCGGATCTTGAGGCTGAGATTCCTTAGAGCAAGGTTTTTGAGAGTCAGGTCCGCCAGGGTCACCTCTGTGCGCCTTTGGTTTCTTACTACGCTGTGGAGCGCGGCCTGATTTACGCGGGATGTATTGAGGTCCTGATAGAGGCTGTCCGTAGGATACAATTTTGATAATAGTTGTGATGATTTTTGGCAGGGGCTTTTGCATCGGCTCTGTTGCCGACCGGGTAAGTAGAGATTTTGTGAGCTTGTAGACATCTTGAACTTATTGAGGTTGTTAACTGGTGCTTGAAAGAACGTGAAGGATACATAAAAAGATACGACGGCAATTACTTATAGCCATCTTTGTATAGAATTCTACATGATCGACCCTGAGATCATCGCATCACCTATACATTTGGCATATCTGGACACCGGAAGACCTCTTTACATCCAAAGGTCCTGGTAACAAGTCGGCCAACGCCAGATGGCTGATTCAAGTGCTCCAGCGCTTCTACGAATGCGTTCGCGAGACAGCTAAGCCTAAGGTACTTATAGGAATGAAGACGGAGATGGATATGGAAGTCCCAAAAAGCGCTCCGAGTGTTTTGTTTTAATTTTACTTTGAGGCGATGTGGTACGAAGAGGTGCGTGGAGGATGAATTAACGAAGAGATCATATTAGAAAGACAACGCTATTCTTCCAATACCATGAATATAATATCATGAATAAAGATATAAATGATGCTGCTTTTTGGTTATAGACATTAAGATCTAGCAGCCTCAATTAGGGGTCCAGAAGGAGATACATTCTCAGCAATTGCCGGTTGCTGTCGAGGTCCCGATATCCTAAACGTGACTGCCAGCGTGACCTCCCCATTAGGGAAAGATGAGCCGCTTAGGCGCCCCCAAAAGTTAGACTTATGGCATGCAATAATTCTGAGCACGAAAAATGCCCCATGCGTTACGCTACAATATTGTCCATTAGCCATATCTCATATCATCATTGCACGGAACACATACGCTACGGCGATCGCGATCCCTCCACCAATGGCGGTCAAGATCTGGTCGGTCAGAAGGACAGACCGACAGTTAGACATCTGACGGTAACCTGGGCAAAGATCGGACGCAGTAGGGAAGAGACGGTCGAGCATGTCTAACGCGATAGGCATCACTAGGAGGGCGATGTAGAGATCTGCGACTGCGTTGAGCCCAATGGGAAATCTATTATTGAGATTTATAAGTGCTAGCAATCCCGTGCAAAACATCTGCATTTGTTGTCAGATAATGGGACATGAGAGGGATGCGGATCAGCTACACAAGCCCCGATTTGGAAGAAAGCTTCCTCCAACTGCCACATGTATCCACCTAGTGATTTATACTCCAGGAAAAAATACGCGCCGGTGGCAATGACGGTGTTGATGATAGAGGCAGTTAATACGGATATTGTCAGGGACCTGATGGGCCGTTTGAAGTAGTCCCTTGCGTATACCACGTCGGCCTCTTGAAGCGGAGCAGCCCCCGCCTCAGTATTCGAGGCTTCCTCATCTACCCGAGGCTCAATGACCGTAAGAAGAGGAGATGTCTCTGTTGGGTCTGCCATTGCTGAGTTAAGTGGAAGGGTAAACAATTTAGAGAAGTCTCGAGATCACCCCAAAAAAAGGCGGTTATAGAATGCAGAAACAATGGAATAGAATCTAAAAAACAGGAAGACTCAGAAATTTAAGTACATGAACAAGAGACGGTTGCCTTTCCTTGAAGAAACTGGCCAACTTTGCTTGAAGCCGTGAAAGGTGTCAAGACCTGCTGTGCCTCCCCAAATGATTTTAGGCAGCCCCTGGACCAGCCCATATCACGTGGCATAAAATTAATCGATATCCCATCCTCCAGCCGCTCGCTCTTAATCTCTCACCCAGCTCCATCCCGATCTACAGAATTATATTCCTTCCCGCACACAAGCTTTCCCTACTAAGCAATATACAGCAGCGGGGTTTTTTAGTAGTAGTTTTTTTTTAGAATATTTTTCTACCCCTATAATCCGGCACTTAGCAACCAATGGTGCCAGCCAAAACGCCAACCGAAATTTCTTTTCAGTTGCCGGAAAATCCATATGCCGAGAAAGTACGATCTGCAACAAAAAGACACATCTCCCGAATCGTTGAAAAGGGGACGCCAAACGCCCCGAGACCTGGAGAAACGCCAGCCCCGATACGTTCGCGGAACTGACCCAGCGGAAAGCGGTTTGGGAGCCCCCCTTTTTGTTTTGGTGCCGGCTGTAGGCCGAAACCTAGGTAAGCGAGTTAATGCATGTTCTACGATATCAGAGATTTAAGGGGAAGAAAAGCGTTTGTAGATGGACTTGTGATAAGGTTTGCGTGGCGTGAGGAGTATGATTTAGGGTGAGATGAGTTGTGAGAACTACCTTATTTTATTACCATATTTACAGAAATTTTTTATCATTTACAACTTCGACATCTCTCTCTTTTTTGGCCCGACGTAACCAAAGAGGTATGCTGCAATCTTGCGCATCTGGATCTCTTCACTTCCTTCAGTGATTCTGTATCGGCCTGCGGGATTAGTATTCTGATTGGATACAGATGATGGACTACCTACGATGATGTCTATAGATGTGCTCGAATCTACAACTGTCAATACGAAGCAGGGCTTAGAAGCCGGAAAACTTACTGCTTATGCCTCGAATATCCAATCCCGCCATGAATCTGGATCGCTCTATCGGCTGCCTGGGTACATAGTCGGTTTCCCCAGTACTTCTCCAAATTAGACTTCATTTTTCCCCATGACGAGAACAGGCAACTCACATTACACATTGACACTTTGTCTCCCAACGTACTCTCGATCTGCTTCTGCGTCATTTGATCCATCTCCGTCGCTGTCTTTAGAATCAGTAACTTCAACATCTCCACCTGCGTCTGTAATTCCACGATCGGGAACTGGATCCCCTGGTTCCTGCTCAGCTCCTCGCCAAACGGCTTCCTTCTCCTTGCATATTTGATACTCTTCTCAATGCAATACTCCGCAGCGCCTAGCGAGCTCGCTGCCTGCCTGAGTCGGTTCTCATGGACGAAAGTCTGCGCGATGGCCAATCCCTTCCCTACCTCTCCTAAAACAGCAGTGTCCGGGACAAACACGTTGGTGAAGGTAAGCGTTGCGTGATCCGTAGGCATATTGAAGGTCCACTCATAGCTCTCAACCTCAAACCCCGGCGCGGTTCTGGGAACGAAGAACGCGGTGATACCGAACGCATCACCTGCTTTACCATGCGTGCGCGCAAAAACAAGGCAGTGCGTGGCGCGATGCATGCCGGAAATCCACATCTTCCCGCCGTCGATCCGCCACCCCTCCACCCCGCCTCTCATCGTCTTCACTGCATGGGTAAACATGTGCGTTGCATCGCTCCCGTGATTCGGTTCCGTGAGTCCAAAAGCAAAAGAGCGCTTCTCTGCCAGCCGTCCGGCGATAAACTCTGCTTTCTGCGCCGGCGTCCCGAATTCCCTCACCATCAACACGTCCGGGAAGTTTCCTACCACGCTATGCTCGTTTTGCAAATCGTTAAACAACCCCAGCCCCTTCTTTGCCAGATACATCCTGATTGCCGCCATCCATAAGTTCCCGCCGTTTTTCCCGCCATACTCTTCCGGCAAGCAGAATCTATAGAAGCCCGCTTCGTCAGCCAGTCGCCGGGATTGGGAAAGCAGTTCTTCCCAGTCGTCGCGCGGAAGACCCTTATTATCCCAATTTGTACGAGCGTGCTCGCGGCGGTGATCGAAGAAGCGGTTGTTGTCGTTAGAAGCTTGCAGGGGGACTATCTTTTCGGCGATAAATTTATCGATTTCTTCTAAGTAAGCTATTAGGTCCGGGGGAAGGGCGAAGGACATTTGTCCGTGCGAAGCATTGGGCGGCATTGTGAGGGCAATTTGTAGTTAGATGACCAAAAGTAATTATTTTGACCGTGAAGCCTTTAGATGGCAGGGGAGATCAACTGTCAAACATTTCCCAGATATTTCCTGATCATAGAGCTTGAAGGAAGCTATCGAGCTCCTGTCCACTATATGTTGCGGGGAGGTGGGGTAGTTGGAACTGACAAAGCCTCGGGAGTGGGCATGAGTCAGGTACGATGACAGAATATATGGAAAGGCTTTAATCGATAAAGTCAAGGTCGTGAAAGTATGAACGTTTTGGTATATTCTTGTCTGCTATGAAATGAGACGCCAGGAGAGACTGCCTGTTAAGACATGATAATTTTGAGCTGTGAGAACAGTATAACAATAATCCTGTCCGAGGATAAAACTAGAGAGCACAATGTAAATAGAGCCTCAGGAGCTCATGCTGACGAGAAAGAGGTAATAGCAAGTAGAAATGCAATCATAGAACGTTCTTATTTACATCACCCACTTATGGATGTAGAATATCAGATGTGGGGGGAGGAGGGAGCCTTTGGGCTATCGCCTAAGTTCAATTCCCACAAACCGCCAAAAAAAAAAAAAAAAAAAGGGCAATTCGCGTTCCAAAATCAAACTTCTTGATACATTAAGCGGCGAGAAGTAGAATCCAAAAAAAAATTAGCAAAAGATGATCGATGCAAGGATCGAACTTGCGACCTGCTGCGATAATAGTTCGTTTATGAGCTTGTAAAGCAGACGTGATAACCGCTACACTGTATAATTGTTAGAATGACTCTTCTTGAAGTACATCGAGGTTGAATCTTACCCAATCGACCATGTCGTAAAAGTTGTGTTCTAAGTTTGTTTAAAAATGAGTATACAGCAGAAGAGGAAAGAGGAGAGGCGGAAAGACTGATGCGGAAATGGTTCCGGTTTGCAAGAAAGTGGGTGGGCCTGTGTTAGGGACGCGAAGTGCTTGGCAAGGAGTTTGAGTAAACGTTATCCTGTCAACTCATGGAGGAGAAAGATTTCGATGAGGTGACGGCATAAATATGGTTCATTCATGATAATTTATGGGTTGTATATCCTTCCATCTTATATACTCAGCATTCCATATCTCTTTATGAGCTAGGATGCAGCAATAGATGTGTGCAATTTGAGAATAAACGAAGAATGGGATAAAGCATGCGTGAGCTAGTGATGCTCAGAAACTAAGAAATATTTTTCATTCGCTACCGCCGCAGATGCTTCACTCAAAACAAAAGGTATTATGCCAAATATCCACAACTTTCGTCTTGAGTAAACTTATTATTACAAATTCGCAGAACAGAAACCGCACCGTCCTATCTCGTGCAGCATCAGCACGTTAGAATCGGCAAAATTCTGTATCAGATTATACTGTTTCGCGCTCCGTCTTGCGGGAGGCTCTTCGCTCACGACCCTTGACCGACCATGGGAAGTGGGCGACGGGAATAACGAAGAATGAGTTGCTAAATTAGAAGTTAGTCTGGATCACGGAGTGTACGGAGAGGTTAATATATATACCTATCGTCAGCGATACCAGCAAGTGCATTATACCACGCAGCAAAAGCGGCTAGTAGACCGAAAACACCACCAGCCTTTTCAAGAGGAATATTAGGTTTACCATTTACTGCCTTCAAGTGCGAGATGGCCAGCATGAGAAAAGCAAGATCTAGTGTGAAGAACAGGAAGAAGAATGCAACCGTAGACCGCAGCGTACAGACCAACAAGATGGTGGTGAACAGCCACCAGCCAAGCAGGAAGAAACCGAAGGCGTTCTGAAAGTCGTTGGCGCCGGCTGTGTCGGCCTCATAGGCGGCCACAATCTGGAAACCGCCAGGGGTGAGGACAATAGCGAGAGATAACCAGAAACCGCCATAAGAGGAGAGTGCCGTGGCACCAAATGTATTGCCTACTGCCATCTCCCTACATCGTGTTAGCGGTGGATAACGAGGAGGCAAGATTAACGTACCACATGCCGGCAAGCAATTGCACTAAGCCGCCATATCCGAATGCGAGAGAAACTACTATATTGGGCTCTGTCAAGCCACGTGTGCCGCAATTGATGAGCGACAGGACGAAGGTTGTCAAGGCAAAAGCGCTCAAGCCAAGTGGTGCTGGATTAGCAAACTTGCGCTCTGTGGTAGGCCTGTAAAGACCTGGTTGGAACTCTCCTCCGAATGCTGCGAACCGAGCTGAGTCTCCAGTGTTTAGGCGGGCGAGTGGGTTTCCACCATAATCGTAGCGAGGACGCTGCTCCTGTGTTAGGTTCTGGCCATTCTGAACTGCATGATCTTGATGAGTTGTAGCGTTCGTGTACTCTTTGTTCAAGGCTGGATCTACAGTTCCGGTGGTAGCCATTCTGACGTTCTATGTGCTCAGCGGTTGGTGATTCCGTTGGCTTATCTATATTGGATGACTGAGTAGCTGGTGCTGATCTAAGTGATGCGACCCGACGTGCTTCATGATGAGATTGTGAAGGGATGGGACAGGATATATACCAGTTCTCCGGGTAATAGGAGAAACGGCCATGGATCTGAGATGAGATCATCTATTGCACGGCCTATGCTAAAGTGAGCTATAGCGTTATAGAAGCTCTGGGGATTAGCGTGAGGGGCGTGCCCAATTGGGAAAATGCGTAACCCTCCACCTTGTTATGAGACGAGCCCTATTGATCCATATGCTCCAAGTATGAGAAGTCGGGAGAGGGGTCGCACTCGCACAGTGCTAGATTCGTACAAGGCTCATGCTGAATCGTTGATCCGAAGTGCAGCACAGGGACCACACAACAAGCTAACGATACCAATTACGCTGATTTCTCCAGGTCATTTTCCATGACGAAGATTATGCTATGATGAATACTGGAGTAGTGGAATTTGCCAGGGCCGATATCCCCTGTTAGGCCAGCTGGGTCTAGTAGTGATATGTCACTAGCATTTGTATGATATGAAGTCTAGTGCTCTCTCTCTATGGAGAGAGAGAACCAAACCCCCGGCTCACGACCAAGCCAGGTGCAACAGTATTACGAGAACTAGTAGCAATATCTCCGGACCCTCAAAAATAGCATCGCCTGATTGGCTGGCAAGGAGAGGCGAAGTCGATTTTGGTTGAGCTGGGCCTTCGTCAACTGTACTGTACCGTTGCGGGAAGGGCGGTGGGAATATCCCCAAAGGGTGTGGTGAGTCGGATGACAATTGACCTGGTGTCATTGTTGCCGTTAATTCCGGGGCTCATGTTTCGACGAAACTTTTAGGATGGCAAAATCCCTACTGCATCATGGATCGAGCTGGGCCTGGTAACTCGCTGTGGGGAAAGGGGGGTTTCGTTGTGAGGCGTTCTTCCTTCTATCCGGAAGAGCTAAAAAAACTAAGACAGCAGATACCATCCTCTGTTGGAGAGGGAAATTTTCCTTTTGTCAGGCTCAGATCAGCATGTTTTCGCTTTCTTTGTCACGGCATTCGATGATGCAGGTGTGTCCAAACAAGCACTTTTTTTTTGGCTTGGTGGATAAAAGTGAAGTCATGCATCCTGGGCCGCCCGCTGTCCGTTGGGTGGAGTTTTCTGCACGGCAAACAACCTATGACTTGGCACACTTCATCAACCCTCGCATGTCTTTTTTCACTCACTCATCCCCTCCAACCATATACTAGAAGGATGACAGGCACTGCTCTTCCAGGGGTTGCCAAATTACAGGACATTCGTAAGCGCTCCTGGCTGAATTTGTCAAAGACGCATCTGATCGAAGATTGCTTTCAAATTAAAGCATCATACGACCAAAGTGGCTTCTGAATTGTAGAGGGACCATGGCTCGTCGATCAACAGCCGCCCCAACCCAATGACTTATAGACTCTCTTGGTCGCTGCTGTTGAAGAATGATCTTGGTGGTCGTCTAAATTTCTCTACCGCGTCACTCATGGCCCAACTCTGCGCATCTTGACTAAACAAAAACCATGAGCACATCTTCCAACGTTTGATGCCGAGGACTTTCCTCTAGGATAAATCAGCCACCACGACCCAACAGCAGTGAGCCAAGAACAGCCATTTCTCCTATCGTTAACAGCACCCTGGGACTTTGTTCTATACACATGGGGACTTCCAACCGCCACTAGTTAGCTACTATATTGTGCCTTGGCTGGGATGCCAACCGCTGCAGCTACGCCGTCCAAATTATATCGTGAGAACTCCAAAAATGCATCTCGCCATTTCTTCCCCGCATTTGTGGGCCGCACATCCTTCCGTCGCCGCGCCGGGAGCCAAGTTTCTCGGCGATTCTTCATCAGCCATGAATTACTCTATTAATCCAACATGCGTTGACCGCCAACCCGAGCTAAAAAAAAAAAAAAAAAACAGAGACAAAACTTCGGTTCTTAGGGAAACGCCCGGCACAACGACATGGCGGCCCTAAAAGATTCCGCTGGAACCTGTTCCCTCATAATCTCTCGACCGCTCTACAAACTCAAATTCCATATAGCGGGAGATGTGACAAATATTCGAGGATGAAGAAAGCAAAGTCATTGCATCTCCATATGGATTGTAACTGCTTAATAAAAGTTAGGATTTGTAGCTGCGTCGGCGGCAGCTGTGAAAACGGGCTCGCTACGGTTATGAGGACTCCTTATATGGATGATCCTGAGGGATCCGTACATTCGATTCCAGATCGCGTGAGAATACCCCACGACGAAAAGGTCGATTCCACCAGCGGACCCGGTACCGATTGGGAACTCGGAAATTTGAGTCAGTCACTATTTAATATGTGCCAAATCACTTGCTTTCTTTCTCGGGCTGCATATGCTCTCCATGGTTTGATTGCCACAAATTCTGGTTCATTAAAAGATGTTTCCAACCTCTTAACTAGACGCGGGCTCCTCTTTTCTACGAATGAATCAAAAAAGGATGAGATGTTGATTCAAAACCCTGGTTGCGGTCCGTTTACGCAAGGCCATCAACTTCTAGATTTAAGACATGAACAGCGATCAAGTGATTGCCTCAGAGACAGCTTTCAATTTCCCAGATTATCGTCGGACTCCGTTCAGAATAGTACACTTCCATGTCTTGCCATCTGGATGCTATGCTGTAACTTGCGTCCTCGTCTTCCTACGCCAGCTACTGAACATTCGAAACTTTAATCAAGTGATAGTTTTGTATGGGAGGCTTAGATCTCAAACAGGGACTCAAATACAGTCTGTTGCATTATATGCACTCATGGAATTCCATGGCATTGTCAATGAGACGTATCGTGTATAGCTTGGAAGGATGCAAGCGACACATCATTAATTTGTTGACGATAAACATCTTTACAATGCAACGGTACCCACAAAGCTGAATAGAAGCAAATGCTATTGGCTACTTCTTAAAAGCGATCTGTATCTCTGGCAAAATATACACTTCCGGTCATCCCTTCCTTTCAACAGCTCACCATGCCTAGCAATCCCTGAATCATATAAAGTGGTACGGATGAGCGAGCCTCCATCATGGAAGTCATGAAATGAGCATAATTCATGAAGCAGCCAAGAAATACGTTCGAACGGGCGATACTACGAACTTCAAGCGATATCCGCTCGGATCTCAGGGCTGCAGCAATTTCGACCTACGGCTCCGTGATAAAAAAAAAAAGGTCTGCAGCAGAGCCGAAGACGCGATGAACCGAGATATACGCCCCCAAGGTGATCTAATCACTTTCTGGAAACATGGATGGGGATCACAGGTTTGGTGCGTCGTCGTTCTAAGAAAGTTTTCTTTCGTTGTCTCCGTGGACCGGGGCG